TACCTTTGGGAGCCCATTTAAATCTTTTAGCTGATCTTTCACCGAAGATAGTTGAAGATCAAGAGTTAATGTCGAAGACTCCATATATGAGCGCTGTTGGGAGTTTGATGCATGCGATGGTATGTACAAGACCAGATTTGTCACAGGAGGTGAGCATGGTTTCGAGATACATGCACGATCCAAGAGTGGGTCATTGGGACGTCGTGAGATAGATTTTGAGGTACATTCAAGGTACGCTCAATGTTGGTTTAGTTTATGAGTGGGACACTATAGGTGGGTAGTTGTGCATTGGCTATGTTGATTCGGACTATACCCGAGATTTGGATAAGCGCCGGTCTACGACGGGGTGTATGTTCACTTTGACCCATGAGCCGGTGTGTTGGAGATGCACCTTACAGTCAACGGTGGCTTTGTCTACGATGGAGGCATAGTATATGGTAATTACGGAGGCTGTGAAGGAGGTTATTTAGCTTCGAGAACTTTTAGAGGAACTTGGTATATCGCAGCGGTCCGTTACTATTTATTATGATAGCATGAGTGCTATCTATTTGGCAAAGAATCAGGTTTTTTATGCGAGGACGAAACACATTGATGTTGGTTATCACTTCGTTCGAGATGTTCTTGAAGATGACGATGTGGAGATTGTGAAGATCCACACGAAGGATAATCCGACGGATATGCTCACTAATGTGGTTTCGAGCAATAAGTTTGATCATTGTCGAAACTTGTTACACATTCGTGATTGTTGAGGCCGTTGGTGGCCATTTGGGTGAACTACGTTCTGCTTGATTTCTTGGGTAAGAGGATACATAGGCAGTCTTTTAGATACAACTGGGATGGATTGGTTGATTTTGATGGGGGTGAGATTGTTTGGACTCTCGTTCGGGATTCCTGACTTGTTGTGGATTGAGTCCGTTGTTGTGAATTATTTCATGGCGTACTGGACACAAGTGGTATATTTGGATACTTTGGTGTTGGCTCAGTTTTAGGAAAACTTCACCGAGGTGAAGAATTATGAACGAACATGAATCTGGGGCCCACCCACGTGCCACCCACATGCAGCACAAGTCGGGTAATTATGAGGCCAGGCCCAATTTCGTTTTTTTTTGGCCTGGAATTTTCGGATATAAATAGCAGTGATTTGCTAGGGTTTTAATGTGCAAGGAGTTTTGAATTAGCTGTGACGTGTTTTCAGCAGAGGAGAAAAGCGGTGTGCAAAGCTTCGTACATAAGGGGAAAACAAGGGTTTTTCGGCTGTACTTGGTGAAGAAGGACAGTGGACTTTTGAGAGAGTTTTTTGCATCCCTTTGAGAGAGAAATTGAGAAATAGTTTGAGGGTTTTATTTGTGAGGCTTTGTGTGATTGTAAACCTTATTTATATTTTCTTTTTGTTCTCTAGTAGTAGATCTCCCCCTCCTTGCCTCGTGGACGTAGGCAATTAGCCGAACCACATAAAATTGGTTATCTCGCTATTTGTGTGATTTGTAATAGCTTACTTAGGTTCACTTGACAGATCAGTCCTAGAACTGATGAGAGGAAGAGCTGATATCCTAATTTATTGAGATATTTTGCTTAAGGTTCTTGTTTCCTTTATGAAACAGGAATTCCTATTGTGATCTGACTCTTTTGTTGTGCTGCCGAAGTGCTGCCGAAATTTCCATTACGCGCAACAGAAACAGCTTTAGTTTGTGAAGAGTAAAAATCAGGGCTCTCCTAGTACAACAAGGACTGTTCAAAGTCTTATCCAAAAAGGACAAGTTGTCGGAATCCATACCCGATGATGAGAAAGAAGAGCTGAAGATGAAGGCGCATAGTGTCATACAGCTCTATTTGGCCGATCAAGTCCTGCGGGAGGTTGCCAATGAAGATACCACCACCGGCTTGTGGCTTAAGTTGGAGAGCTTGTACATGATAAGATCTCTAACGAACAAGCTCTACTTGAAGCAATGCATCTTCATCCTTTACATGAAGGAAGGTATGCGGATTAAAGACAATTTATATGAACTTAATACTATTCTTATGGATTTAAAGAATATTGATATTAAAATTGATGAAGAAGATCAAGCCCTCATTTTGTTATGTTCATTACCTCCTTTCTATGAGAATTTTGTTAATAACATGTTATACGGTAGAGATACACTTTCTTTGAAGGATGTCAAATTAGCCTTACATTTAAAAGAGTTAAGGTAGAAAGTGTTTGTCGTAGGAGGAGAGGGTCAAACTGAGCGCTTGTTTGCTTGTGGTCATCCTGAAAAGAGTGTTGGTGGTAGAGGCAAATCTAAAAATATGTCTAGATCAAAGTCTAGGCCAAGAAAAAATGTTGAACGTTATTACTATCACAAGTATAGGCATATAAAACCTAATTGTCCAACCCTCAAAACAAAGGATACTTCACAGTCAAAGTCTGAGGAGGTGAAACCTTCAGTTGCCACTATAACTGAATAGTTTTCTAGTTCACGTGAAGTTCTTTCAGTTAATGTTAATACTCATTCACAAGATGAGTGGATTCTTGATCCGGGTTGTTCCTATCATATGTGTACACATAGGGATTGGTTTGTCACATATCAATCTATTGATGGTAGGAATATCTTGCTAGGAAATAACATGTCTTACAAGACTGTTAGTATCGGGTCAATTAAGATTAGAACCCATGATAGTATTGTTAAAACATTAAGCAATGTTTGACATATACCAGAGTTAAAGAAGAACCTCATGTCTTTAGGCACCCTTGAATCAAATGATTTTAAGTTTTAGGCAAAAGGTGGAGTTTTAAGAGTTAGTAAAGGCTCTCTTATTGTGATGAAAGGAAAAAATATAAAAACATCTATTTGCTTGAAGGTAGCACAGTGATAGGTGTTGCAGCGGTATCATCCTCAGATAATTTAGATTCTGACACCATACATTTATGGCATATGCGGTTAGGGCATATGAGTGAGAGAGGACTAGATGTATTGAGCAAACAAGGTCTGCTTTATGGTCAGAAAGTTAGTGAGCTAGACTTTTGTGAGCATTGTATTTTCAGCAAACACCATAGTCTCCTTTAGTTCATGTGTCCATAGAACCAATGGTACTTTAGATTATATCCATTCAGATATTTGGGATCCCTCTCAGGTTCCATCGAAAGGTGGAGCTCGATTTGTGCTAACATTGATTGATGATTATTCTAGAAAAGTTGGGTGTATCCTTGAGAGTGAATCACACGAGATAGTAAGTAAGAGATTGAAAAGCGGATCATTGGATGTGTTTGCAACCTTCAAGCAATAGAAGTTTATGATTGAGAAGCAAATAGGAAAGAAAGTGAAAAGCCTCAGAACCGGTAATAGGATGGAGTTTTGTTCCACAGAGTTTGACCAATTCTGTAAGAATGAAGGTATTGTGCGTCATCGTACAGTTTGGCATACACCACAACAAAATGGAGTTGCAGAAAGGATGAATAGAACACTTTTGAAGAGAGATCGATACATACTCTCTAGTGTCGGTTTGTAAAAAGACTTTTGAACCGAGGCAATCAATACAGGTTGCTATTTGATAAACAGATCTCCTTCTATAGTAACTAATTTTAAAACTCCGGAAGAGGTATGGTCTGGTGCCCCTGCTAATTACTCTTATTTAAGAGTATTTGGTTGCTCTGCTTATTTTCATGTTAATGATGGTAAGCTTCCCTGCTAATTACTCTTATTTAAGAGTATTTGGTTGCTCTGCTTATTTTCATGTTAATGATGGTAAGCTTGAACCCAGAGCAAAGAATTTGGTTGCTCTGCTTATTTTCATGTTAATGATGGTAAGCTTGAACCCAGAGCAAAGAAAGCTATCTTTTTAGGATATGCTACTAGGGTGAAGGGATATAGATTGTGGTGTTCTAATCCTAAATCACCTAAGTTTATTATTAGTAGAGATGTTACTTTTGATTAAAAAATTCATGCTTCACCCGAGAAAAGAGTTTGTTATTGATATCATAGATACTAAAAAGGAGTCTAGCAAGCAGGTGGAGCTAGAGAGCTCAGCTTCAAAGAGAGTGCTTGAGGACGCTCACGTTGAATCAGTTGATACTGCAAAAGGTTCAACTTTAGATGTTGATACACCACAAGAGCAGCAATACAATATTGCTACCGGGAGAATAAAAAGACAGATCCAACCTCCTCAATGCTATGCAGACATACTTGCTTAGGCTTTGAGTATAGCAGAATCGATTGAGATTCCAAAGCCTTCTACCTATAAGGAAGTTGTTAGTAACAGTGAGGTTGTAGATTGGACTATTGCGATGACTAAAGAAATGGAGTCTCTACACAAGAACTAGACATGGGAGTTAGTAAAGTTATCAAGGGGACAAAAGTTCATTGGCTATAAATGGGTATTCAAGAAGAAAAAAGGAACTCCAGATACAGATTCTGTAAGATACAAGGCATGCTTGGAAAGCTAAAGGCTACAGTCAAATCGAATGTGTGGACTTCATTGAAGTATTCTCTCCAGTTATAAAACATGCCTCAATCCGCGTATTACTTACCATGGTTGCTCATTTTAATTTGGAGATTGAGCAACTTGATGTGAAGACGATTGTTCTACATCACGAGCTTGAGGAGCAAATCTTTATGCATCAGCTAGAGGGGTTCATTGTTGAAGGTAAAGAAGATTATGTGTTCAGGTTGAAGAAATCTATTTATAGGTTGAAACAGCCTCTGAGACAATGGTATTTAAGATTTGATACTTTCATGTTTGAGCATGATTACTCTAGGAGTAAGTATGATAGTTGTGTTTATCATAAAAAGCTCAATGATGGTTCTTTTGTGTATTTGCTTTTATATGTTGATGATATGTTGATTGCAGCTAAAGATATGTTAGAAATCAATGAGTTGAAATCTTAACTCAAACATGAGTTCGAGATGAAGGACTTAGGAGCAACAAAGAAGATTTTGGAAATGTAGATCCACAGAAATAGACGAGAAGGAAGTTTATTCCTATCTCAGGAGAAATACATTAAGAATGTGTTAGAGAAATTTGGTATGCTTGATGCCAAGCCTGTGAAAACTCCGCTTGCTACTCATTTTCGTCTTTCAGTAGATTTGTCACCTCAGGCTGAGAAGGGGGATCAGTACATGTCTTGTGTTCCTTATGCTAATGCAGTTGGAAATATTATGTATGATATAGTCTGCACCCGCCTAAATATTTCACATGCAGTCAGTATTGTGAAATATATACTTAGATATTTGAAAGGATTTACTAATATTTGTTTATATTTTGATAGGAACAAAAATTCAGATTGCAGAATACTTAGTTATTCTGATTCAGATTATACGGGCGATTTGGATAAGAGACGACCCCTGACAGGTTATGTATTCACTCTTTTAGGTAGTACCATTAGTTGAAAAGCGACTCTAAAGTCGACAGTTACTTTGTCTATCACAGAGGCAGAGTATATGGCAGTGACAAAAGCAGTAAGAGAAGTCATTTGGTTAAGAGGTTTGGTTAAAGATCTCGATTTACACCAAGGTATTTTTATAGTATTTTGTGACAGCCAGAGTGCTATACATTTAACGAAGCATCAGATATATCATGAAAGAACCAAACATATAAATGTCAGGTATTATTTTATTAGAGAATTAAAATCATCAAGATTGAGAAACTTTGTACTGTAGAAAATCCAGCAAATATGATAACGAAGCTCGTATCTTCACGCAAGTTCGAGCACTATCTCGAATTACTTGGAGTTCAACAAAATGGAGGTTAGACTCGTACGTAAGGGGTTTCTAGCGAGATAGCAAGTGAAGAGAAGATCTTCATATTCAAAGTCAAGGTGGAGATTTGTTATTTGACTTTGAATTCAACTCACTAACCCTATTACTGATCCATCAACCCAAAATACTATTTTAACAACCCAAAATACTGTTTCACCAACCCTTTTGAAGTCTATATATAGAGGAGAGTGGTGAAGGGTTAGAGCATCGAACAGAGATCTAGAACAGTGAGAAAAAGAAAAAGAGAGTTTTCTTTGAGTGTTCTCTTCTTTGTGTGAGTTTGGTAAGATATTAGAGTGATCTCTCTTTTGTGATTAGTGAAGTTCTCTGATGTTCTCGTCTGTGGACATATGTCATATTGACCGAACCACTTAAATCCTTGTATGTTGTTCTCTTTGTCTATATTAATTCAGTGTTGTTATTTTCCACTCTTATATAGACATCTTATGTGTCTGTGAAGCCCCCCACTGCAACATCTTTGCATAGAAATATATTCACTTCTCAATTTCTAGTCTAATTGTATTCCATATTGAAGAAAAATGTAGTTCAAATCAGCAACGTAACGTATGCAAATTTGTATGGAAGTTCAAGCACGCCAGTTGTAGTAAATCTTAACTATAGCCAGAGTGTACTGTGCACGTTGATGGAGTTCGATAATTTGAATATTTTCTCATCAGACCACGGGGTTAGCATGAAAGCGTATTGTATCAATGCTCACGGCTTCACCAGGGGAGGCATATATGCACTAATTTCATGTCTTCGGGCACCAGCATGAACTTACACCTAGAACATTTGAATTGCATCAGTGTGTGATGTTTGTTGTACAATGCATAAGAAAGAGGTGAAGTTTTCTGCTTTTGCTTATGCAGTGGAATCTAGTGGAAAGTGCTTCTTCCATTCTTAAACTCAATGTTTGTTTGCATTTTACAGAAAATAAATATAAACTCATAACCGACACCATAATTGAAACGGAAAGGTCCTTTAGCGATGTATCGAAGCAACTTAGACTCGATTCCTACCGGTCACGAATTTATTTACTGTATAAGTTATTTTAATAAATGGTTTTGTTTTCCTAGTCGACTCAAAATAAATTAATTGGATGAATGACGCGGTATCAAAAATAAAAATATTCAGCGATCTCGGTACATTGTATAATGATTTTTTAAAGAAAAATGCCAACCACTGAATTAATAAATTTCAGAAATCTTTTCCCTAATTCAAAAGTAGATATACATTTAACACACAGTTAATGCAATATGTGCTAGATGATTAGTAGATATGGTTGACAGCAATTTGTGAACGCATGGTGCTACGCTAACTCAGTAAATCCTATTCCTGTTAACTAAAACCGCCCAAGTAACCTTTTGACTTGAAAACTGAGAGCAACTTTTGTTTTCTGCCAAGTCAAAAAATCAACAAATTTTCCTAGCCTCAACGCTAATAGCCAATTACAGTTCCAGTCCCTCATTAATGCAGTACTAACTATAAGTAAATGAGTGATAATTTCTATGCATAATTCCCCGCACGTGTCACAACCTTACACTGTTAGGTCTAACTGCTTTAGTCTTTGTGTGTCTTAATACTTTATTTTAGAATTAATTAAGATATAAGAAGCATATAAGAGGGTTTTTAAGATAAGCTGCCCAGAAAAGAAGTTAGAATTAGAGTTCCCATTTGAGAAAGAAATGGTAAGAGCATTCGCTATGCGAACGAATTTTTTTTCTTTTTGAGAGTTAGTACTGTTTATATTAATTGAGTATGAATTCTATCAGAACACTCTGTATGTCAGCTCTAAGTGAAAATAAAGTGTTTCTGATAGAATACTTTCATGCTGGAATTCCTCATTTGAAAGAATTGATGCAAGATATCTATCTTTTTCATTGAGAAAAAAATTAAAAGCATTTATTTCTACATATTTTTATATGACTTCTTAGGATCTTTTCTGTTTCACCGCGGTCATTCTAAGTCTCAGTCATTTATTTTTGGGGGTTGGGTCTGATGAAAGTACTGCACGGACTGAGTTTAATGTTTTAGATTTTGGAGCCATTGGCGATGGCACTACCGATGACACTGAGGTAAAATTTTCCTTCGCTTTTCATATTTTCTGACAAAACTGACAATTCACATGATTTTTTTCTCCATTCTTGCAAAGTAAAATAGCTAATGAAAGTTATATTTTCCTTCTATATTTTCTTAAATTTTCACTTGAATGACAATTAGCTGTCCTTTTGTTTTTTGTTTTTGTTTTTGTTATTAACCTAAAAACAAGTTTTTCTTAAAATTTTAGCAAAAAAAAGGAAGAAACACAC